AAAACAAACAAAAGCAATGACCCAAAGAAAACAGAAGATACTACTATTTTTGGAAGGCAGTTGAAATCAAGTCTTCATTTTCTTTCATTCTGAGAAAGAAAAGGTCTTTAGATTACTGTGCAGAAAGATCACCATGGAGATGACTTTTTGGGGTAAGTGTTCAGCCACTGGAGTTTCAGATATCCAGATCTACACAGTCAATTCCCTGTGAGGGATGAAAAATTATCCTGTCCTGAGGCTAACTTGTTTTTTTACATTGAGATCTGGATACATCCTTAGGTAACCCTTTGTAAATCTGACCTACAGATTCAGCAATGAAGAACTGGGATCAATTCAGTTCAGTATTCATGAAGAAAAGTCAAAAAAGTACTGTAAATTTTAATGAACTTTGTGGGAATAGAAGGAGACAGGTGATCCCTCTGCTGAGAGAGCAGAAATGGGTGCTGATTTCCTACAAACACTTTCGCCTTCAATCACCAGAAAAAGAATTTTGGCCAACATATTCATGTTATGACAAACAGCGTGGTCAAATTATTACTGATTTTAAATCGTCATCCTCAGTTTCCTGGAAAAAGAAAGCTGCTACACAGCAACAGTCTACAATATGAAGAGATTTAGCAGTTGTCTATGCTCTTTTCAGCGAAGAGTACAACTATTAACACTTGGCTTTCAGCTAGGCAATGCATATAATATAGATAATAAAAGTAATACAAATGGGGGGAAATAGATAATCAGGTCACTTTCTGTCTAATATGTGTTTAGCTTTTTTCCCAAACCCTGGATTTGATTTTCCTCAGGTTAATATTGCTGGAATCTTGGAGAAGTTTCACTGAAAATTAAAACATTTACTGGTGAACAAATTCTGCAGTATTTAAACAAGCAACAATTAGATAGCTTACTCAATGACAATACCAGTTTAACTGATAGATTGTCAGAGGAAAGAAATTTCATGAACACGAGATGGAAATTAAAAACTTGAAAGATTTCGTCACTAACTGTAATTTTAGTGAAGCCAAAGTTTACTAGGAATCACAGCAATCATTCAGTAATGAAAAACTGGCAATTTTAGTAACACCATCTTGGACAAAGACAGAATCTGTTTTCTTTTACCTAGCCAGGATGTTTAAGAGGTATCATTTTTATCAAATGATTATTGGGTTTTGTTATATAAGGGGAAAATTGAAGTGTTCATTCTGTTAGCCAGAAGAGAACTATACATCACCTCCATAAGAAACAGGAGATTGGGTCTTGTTCCACAAAGTGGACCTTATCAGATTACTAGAACCCCACCTCAATTATTATGCAGATTTCTATTTGTTAATATATATGCTTAATTGCTTTAGTTTATCCTTCTTCCTAATCCCTTTTATTTCTAAGCATAGCTCTTATGTCCGTGGGGGAGATTAATTTGAATGCTACCATCCACACCTCCACTAATCGAGAGTGATTTTAGAAATAAAGCTGTTAAATTGAATTTGTACTCCATGTCATCACTGAACATACTCTTACTGAAGTTATAGAATACCTCATCTGGTAGGACATGATTGAAGGAATCAAGACCCCACAGCTGCTGGAAAAGCATCTGGTCAGGTATGCCAATCTGCTGGCTGGAAACAGAAAAGATGAACAACAGATTACAGATTTGGAAATAGAGGAAAACTCAGACCTTTTAATATTTTCCATCGGTACTTTCTGCGTAGATATTACAATAGAGTGGGGGCAAGGTTGCATTACAGGCCTCCACAAGTATTTTTGCTTGTGCTTCAGACCATGAACGACGCAGGACAGTTGCCTGCATTTTGCTAAAAGCTGTTTCTTTCATTGCCCCCACCCATAACAAAGACCCAGTTTGCTTTAAACTCCCCGTGACCTCTGCCACTAGAGGGCTGCACTTTGTGTGATATTCCCCCCTAGACCTCCAGTGTCACTGCTCCAAGCAGTCAAATAAGGAGAAAAAAGTGTATTCTGAAGCATATCTGTAATTATTAATAGTTTTCTTAATATTAAATCAATATTTGTTGAAATGTTTGTTACATGCAGCTATTTGCTTAGTTAGGTAGAACTGTTACTGAGACGCTAGCTGAGAGGTTAGTTATATAGTTTTAGCTAACTTCTTCAAAAGATGAGCCTGTCTATTAAACTACAAAATACCTAAATAAAGTACCAGAAAACTTAAAAAAGCTTGTCTAAATGGGATGGGAGATAAAGTAGAGGGGAAATATTAAACAAAAGGCATTCTGTAGAGACTAGGGGAGGCACTTGTGAAACAGCTGTTAGTAAAGAAACAGGCTAAGGCAGGACAGACATCTGCTGAGTCTGAGGAAATTAGGTTTCGGGATTACTATTTTTTCCTCTAAGCTTATGGAAGCTAGATACACAAACAACATACACACTGCTTATCATGTTAAAACCTTTTTCATTCTACACTTTAATATTCCTGCTGTTAGCATGAAACAATACTTTTGTTTGAAGAATGCAATCAAGTAAATGTTTTATAAGCTAATTGGAGATCCCAAAGGGAGGACTTGCAGGTGCTGAATCCAATCAGATCTGTCACATAATTAAAATTGGTGCAGGGGGCACAGTAAAACAGATGTGGTCTAAAAATCAGAGAATTATTTGATTCAATGTTGCTTCAGATGAATGGGACATATTCAGTGACATAAAGAGAGCAGTGTTATAATTTATCCAGTTCCACTGCGGAAATTGACTCAAGATGGCTTAATTCAAACATCGTGGTTTTTATTTTTGCCTTCAAAATTTTCTGTAAGTCATTTGCTTAGTTCACAAATAAAAAGAGGCCTTTTAGGACTGATGAACCTACAAACTGGACCTGAGATTTACAAGTCGTGCGGTGCTCTTTCTGACTCAAATACTAATAAAATTTTTCACCTGGAACTTAGTAAAGAAAATGCAAGAGCTAGAACCAGTCCCCAGTTTGCTGTACTGTAATTGTGTCAGCAACTGTCAAGGTAACAGAAACCTAAAATTTTATTTCAGTCAGTAAACTAAGCAATTATGAGTCAGAGTATCTTAGATACAAAGGGTACCTGATGAGTAAGAAGGTTCCCTATTTATACAATAATTTTTCTGACCATATATGTTATCAAATTTTTACTGAATCAGCTGCATCTATTTCTTCTTCTGGCAAGGAAGCTGGATATCACATTCCTGGGACACAATTCCCAAAGAATTCATTGAAAGTTTCCCATGTACGGTGCTTGATTGAGTTCTTAATTTGTGAATGCATTTGGGCAGGAGCCTGTTTAGATGTTAACATGTGCACAGTTTAATATCCTATAATGAATTACATACCTGTCTTGTAATTTTTAAGCAGAGGTGATGAGTTATACGATATATTATACACAAAATCTGCATTTTAAGTACTAAAAATTGTTTGGGGCAGTATTAATGGTAAGTGATTACTAAAACTAAGGCTATCTCCCAGGGAGCTCAGAATGGAAATTGGATTTCATCCACAAACAGCCCGGTTTTCAGCTTGTGCATTAGGAGGAATCGAGTCAGCAGCCACGCTGCACACACACGTAGCAATACGAATTTAGCACAGAGCATGGTGTAACGCAATAAACACATGTGCCTAAATTTTGCACAGAGTTGATGCTCCAGTACTGACCACTGCCTCCACGGTTACAGCGGTTTGAAAAATTTCTTCAAAGGCAATTCAACGAGTCAATAAATAGCATGCTTTTCTGGTGCGCAGACAATCCCCCGAGCCCTGCCTCCCCCTTCCCCCACATCTTAAAACGTTTTAAGCTTCCACCTGAATAATTTCAGATTTGTACGCAGAAATAACCTTCACCGCAGCAAAACATCTTTGATTTCTCTACGAAATACTTAGGTAAGCAACGCGGCTCTGTGTCGCACAGCTCCAGCTAGACCGGCTGTCACAGCATAACAATAATATCTTTATTATTTCCTCTACAAGCCTGCGCGATGCAGCCCGGCGCGTCGGAGGCTCCCGGCGCGGAGCGGCAGCGCTGTCCCCCGCCCGTCCCCCGCGGCGGCCGGCGGGGATGGACGGGCGAACGGATGGACCGAGGGCTGCAGCCACACCGCCCGTGTCGCGTCGCGCAAGTGGTGCAGCCAGCCCCGGCGAGGACGTGTCACCGCTATCCCACCGCCTCCACGAGCAATCTCGGCCGTCCTCCCACGCAGCTGCGGGCCTGCGAGGCGCAGCGTGTAACCCAGGTGACGCCGCATCACGGCGGGGACCCTCCCAGGGCAGGAGCCAGCCCCCACACACACCCGCCCCGCCGCCGCCCCCGCCGCAGAGGTTAAAGCACACAGCGGCTCCTCCACTCGCGTCCTGGAATTGGCGATGAGCTCCAATCCCAGCCTCGCTCTCTTTTGTTCCCATTGGTCGGATCTCCCGCCTGTCTTCACAGAAAGCCCCGCCCTTCTTTTTATCGCACACACACATACATCTACACCCCCCTCTATCGCCCCCCCCTTCCCCACCCGCCTGCCCTCGGACACCCCCGTCCTTCCACCCCCTCCCACGGTTCTAACCTCTCCTGTCTTTCGGGTTGCTGCGGTGCAGCAGAGGGTGGTGACCCCAACCCCCGGCCAGCCAGCCGCCCCCGGTGTTGGGGCAAGAGCGGAGCAGCGCCGCACCGTAGCGGCAGCGATCCCCCTCTCCACCCCCGTGCCCGACAGTGAGGGAGCGGCGGGCAGCTGAGCCGCAGCGTCAGGCGCGGCACTAGGGCGGGCAGGGGCGGAAGGGGGCTCAGAAACAGCGTGAATCATCTCCCACTCTCTCCCTCGCCCACCATTTACACCGCTCGCTCCCTCCTTCTCACCCTCCCTCCTTCCTTCCCTCCCTCCCTCCCTTCCCGCCGATTCAGTCTCACTCGTTCTCTCTCCCCTCCTCTCCCACTCACTCTCTCCCCTCCTCTCCTCTCCCACTTACTCTGTCCTCTCCTCCTCCCGTCTCACTCTTTTCACTCCTTCCCCTCCTCCTCTCCTCTCCCCCATTCTCTTCCCTCTCGCCCCCCTTGTTCCCCTGTTTCCCTTCTCATCTCCTCCTGACACTGCACTGCAGCTGCTCCTCCAGCCCAGTCCTGCCCGCTTCCCTCCCTCCTTTCCCTTCCCTCCCCCCGGGTGCCAGATAAACAAGGCGCGCAGCATCCTCGACAATCCCGGTCTTAGCTCTACATTTTCGAAAAGGACAAGAGAACGGGACGAGCCCCCTCCCCTCCTCCTCCTCCCCCTTCCTCCTTCTCCTCCTCCTCCTCCTCCTCCCCCCTTCCCTCCCTGCCCCCCCACCACAGAAGGGAAGAGACTATTCTCCTCCGAGCAGCAGCAAACATGATGGCGGCAGCTCCCATCCAGCAGAACGGGACCCACACCGGGGTTCCCATAGACCTGGACCCGCCGGACTCCCGGAAAAGACCGCTTGAAGCCCCCCCTGAAGCTGGCAGCACCAAAAGGACCAACACGGGCGGTGGGTATATCCTCTGTCACCTCCCTCCCCCCCCCCCAACCCACCCACCTCTTCGCTTTCCTACCTGCCTGCCCGCCCGCCTCTCCTTCGCCCCCCTCCAAAAGATTCCCATTTCTCTAATGTTATCATTCATCAAAATGGCGTCGGTTTTCAGCATCTACCAGTCTTTTTATTTAATATCCACGCTGGGGCTGCACAGCCGTGACCCTACGGAGGCGAGGAGGGAGCACAAGGGACTCCCGCAGCACAGCTATCTCCCTCGCCCCTTTAACGATGGGCGAAAATAAAGGGCAGCTGGAGGGAGACGGTAAACGCTCTTCCCTCCTTCCACATCTTCGGGGTCGCAAGTTGAATTTCAGCCTTGTCGTGCGTTTTCCTCCTCCTTGGCCTCACTTCCATTGTCAGCGCGTACACGGCGTGTGTTTGCAGTGCCGAGCCGGGGGCGAGGGCTGGCTGGTGGCAGGGGGAGTCGCCCCTCGGCTGCGGGGACTCTCTAGTTAACATCCTGCTCTTCCTGGAGGAGATGAGTTATAACGGGACCAGCATCTCCTTTATCCATTTGCACTGGAGTCGTCATAACAATGAGGCAGAGGTGAATTTATTTGCCCCATGTTGAGAGCAGCGCTCCGACTGTACATAATGCATGGTTCCCCAGCTGTGGTAATACGGGTGGGCACCACTGTCACACACAGGCACTTCTTGAGACGCTTATAGTCTCAGAGAAGAGAAGTAAGGTGAACTGAGATCGTTACCTCTGCTTAGGGGTAAAAAAAACCCCACAGCTTTATGAAGCAGGTTTCACGATATTTTAATATCCATGCCAATGGGATCTTGCCTTAATTACTGAGAATAGCCCAAGTCTGGGAAACCAGCGTACCCTTATTGCCTTGCACTTCTTCAGAACCAGTTGCAGAAAGGTCCTCAGACTTCAGTATAGCTGGATTTAGCAGTGTGGTGAGGGCACTGACAATTGTGCAGTTTCCAAATCAGACTGGGAATCCTTTTTTTTTTTCTCCCTTCCATTCATTCTATATATTTTTTCCTGTTTTGATTGTGTGCTTTAACGCTAGTGGTGGGTAGAGGACTGGCATTGTCTAAGTTGTCACCTTTTAAGTGTATTTAAAATAAGTGACTTAGGGTTTTGATCAACTGGGAAAAATTCTTCTTAGTGTCCTTTAATTAATGAGCTTAAAAGAGATCATTATCTCTTAAGAAGTGCTAAAGGAATACATCAGGATTACTTAGGCAAGTGATTCCATCCACACCATGTTGAGTTGTTTTCTTGGCAGTGGCTGAAATGCTTGGAATAAAACCCCACATTTTGGGTGGGTTATTTGGTAGCAGAGTAGTCGTTTTGCTCACTTAAGAAGAATACAGGCAATAGCTAATTGCTGTTCTCATGTGTTTGCTAATGACAAACAAATAGCTCATTAGAATTTACAATTCGTTCCTTTTTGGTTTTGTCATTTCTTTTGCAGCATTTTCAAGGAAGGTTGTAGTTGTCAGTAGCCACGTTCTTGTGCAGGGCTTTATTTTTTTTTTAAGGGGTCTGATCATTTCTGCATGCTGTGGTTACCACTGGAAAAAATCAATCTTTGAAATATAATATGAATTTTATTCTCATTCTTTTACTGAATTAAGGAACCTATGTGTGTTCTTTATTTTGCTTAGAATAAATGTAGATATTTTAAAATGTCAAAGGCACAGTCTAAACATGTCTTGTAGAATGACGCAACTGGTTAGATGTAAATGCATGAATTAGTGGAGGAGTTTAAAGATGTAACCTTTTGTTTATTTGTGGGTCTGGGGAGAAAAAATGAGAATTTATAAGCCATATTAACCATGCATATCTCAATTTTTCAGAGGATGGCCAGTATTTTCTAAAGGTCCTCATACCTAGTTATGCTGCTGGATCTATAATTGGGAAGGGAGGACAGACAATTGTTCAGTTGCAGAAAGAGACTGGGGCCACCATCAAGTTGTCTAAATCCAAAGATTTTTACCCAGGTAGGTGAAAAATTAGCCAATTCTTTATTTTCAAGTCCCAAGGGACATACGTACATGTCAGTGTGTTTCATATATTGACAACTAGGCTTCCAGTGCAGCAGGAAGCATTATGTCTCACAAAAGTATGTTATGAAGTGCAACAGTGAATATAAATGTTCTGTCTGTTTTGGTGTATGGAATGGACCGTGCTGGGCACTAACTGCTTAAAACAAGTTTAAAGATGTTTACAATGTTTCTGTGAAAGGTTATTTTAATTAACAGTGATTGCTTTATTTTTTATTAAAAAAAAAAAAAAATCTAGCTTTAAGGAACCACTGTGACAGGTGGTGTAAAAATAATTGTTCCTTTGAAGTTTCCAGACATTAGAATGACAAATAAGGTAGAATGAGTAAAAATAAGAGGCCGCTTAGTAAAGAATGGGCCATTTACTTTAAATCCATTATGTACCTTCTTTCTTCTTCACTGCTTTGTTCACTGGCTCTGGAGTGAAGTAAAGAGGACAAGTGCCGCTTTTTAGATATTCTTTATATTATGTTTATCATGGTGGTGGAAGAACAGTGTATTATAAAAGTGAAGTGCTTTAGATGAGTAAAGAAATTAGCATTTTATATTAGCTGTATTAATGCACAAGAAAGAAGTTTTTTTTAGTATTTGAGTATTACAGTAATAAATACCTGAATTGGCATTTCTCCTTTATGTGATTTCTGAAAATGGAGTCTTACATATAATGATAGACAAGATTTAACTTCTGTAGTTGATTAATCATTTTTTCCCTAATATGAACAAATTAGTATTCTTTAATTGAACTTTGTTCTAGAGGACTTTTAAAAAACTGATGCAAAATAATAACATAGCTGACACTTCTGTGTTTTGATTTTGTTGTTTTGAAGAGTAACTGGTGATTTGGAATTGAGTTGAGCTGTTGGAATTGAGTCAGCTGTTACTGACTTTTTCTCTGTTGGAAAAATAAGAGTTGCTTTGCGTTTGATCTGCTTTAAAAAGATGACTGAATTCTGCAAAATAGTGGAGGCAGTTGGTATGGATGTAAACAGAACACTAACATTGGAGCATTTAGCATCCCTGCCCTCTAACTTTAGTGTCAGGCAGAAGTAGATAATATTTTATTAATGAAGAGATTTTGATCTATTTACAAAGATGATTGTTAATGTGGAAATTTTAATGCACCTGTTTTACGTCTCCTTAATGAATGTAGTTTGTAATGCTTAAATGTCAGAGGTTGAAGTGATGCATGTAGATTTTTTTTTTCCTGTTGAAAGTTACAGCTTACGAAGGGTGCTCGTTTCCTTTGAGGCCTTGTTTACTTTTTTTAAAAAAAAGCTCGGAAAAATGATCCTTTGTTTTGAAAGGTATGTTAGGGTGGAAAAAATCAATGTGGAATTGTGAAAACTCTAGGAAGAAATAAAAGCATTCTAAAGAGCCTGATTGCAGAATTAATAACATAATCTGGGTAAAGAGCTGCAATAGTAAATTAAATTCACTATCAATAGATGAAAATGAAATGGATTTTTTGCATTATACATGAGGGGGTATCAGATATGCAAGAATGTTACAGAAAATTGGTGTTTATGAAGAATATTCCAAATACCAAATTACAAGCCTTTTCATTTTACTACAGTTTATTTACACTCACTTGGAAAGGACGCTCTGAAGATTAGATCTTTTGTTCAGTGCTCTAGTATAGTTCTTTTGTTTTCTGATTAAATCAGAATTACTTTTTTTTTGGTGTGTGTAGGAAATTGTAAAGATAAAACCGTAGTAGCAGAAGAACCTTTGAAAAGTAAAAATTAGCAAGTTAGAATAACATGAGAAAAACATTTGTGACATATTTTCCCTTAAAATCAGTAGCAATAATATAAATAATTAGGGCTGGGAGGCTCAAGCATTTTCACGCTAACAGGTGCAAATGAAGTTCCAGTTTGACTTCATACAGTCTGCCTTGAATTTGCAGCTACGTTGTGTCATATTGAAAGAGTTTTAAGGAAGCTGGTGACTGATACCTGCTGAAGCATAGTACAGGGATGGGAAATGGATTCCAGCGTGGCTAACTCTTCTTAGTCTCTCTGTTTGCGTCTGACCACCAGCCCATGGAATTTTCGGGGGTCCTAGCATTCCCTGAGCTGATGGCTTTTGGGTTTCTTCCAGACTCTCTTGCTTATATAGCATTAGGGAATACAAACCTTGTGAAAGAGCTAAGATGAAGATACGGTTTATTTTTCTTACAAAGTTTCTTAAACAATTATTCTGTTTTCCTAATAGGTGCTACTTAGTCCTTATCCCTGCTTGTGATTACAAATGTGTTTAATGTATATTTTGCTATTCAATGTTCTGGTGTTGAAGCTTCTGTGAAACTCTTCTGTATTTCCAAAAAGTTTTAGAAAAGTAAGTTCCTGTTTGGAAAGGAGGAAGTTGGTTATAACACAGAAATTACAAATAGTTCCCATGATCTAATAGTGTTTTTTCTTTCCCTCTGTGATATAGGACTTCAGTATGCAGACTGATTTCTGTTGGAATTATTTTTGTGCGTCAAAAGGTGACATAATTACTGAAGAATTATATGGCAGCTCTAATTAAAGGAAATTAAAGGAAAAACAGCTTTGCACTGTACATTTTAGTTTACAAAATAGGAAGCAGTATAAAAATATATTACTGTCCACTGCAGTCTTATTTTTTGAGTACACAATTTATTGTTCTCTTTTCAGGTTACCCGCTGACTTTCTCTAATTGTCTGGACTCCTGCAATTTGACTTTGAATATTGTGTCTAGATTATCCCTGGTTCTTTACTGTTCAGACTTGTCCCCCAAGATTAACATAAATGAAATTAAAATGTCAAAATATACCCTACTTTTATACTAAACGGTATTGATCCTTTCTGTAGAGAAGTACAGTGTGTATTGACTAGTAGGTTTTGGTCCAAAATTTGAATACAGATTTAGCCAACTGCATAAAGAAAGTGGCTATTCTGTGAAGCTATTTTAATGTATGGTTTTGTTTTGAATAATATAAAAAAAATTATTTCTCTTGTATGAAGCTGTCATTGTCTTATCTGTTTCTCCATTCTGCATTATAGTGACCGCCGGACTGAAAACTACTTGGGACATATGTATATTTTCCATTGCGAGCGCTGGCACACACTCTCGCTTTCTTTCTCTCACGCGCGCTCTCACTCCGCGTTCCTGCCCCAGTCTCTCCCATATGCACACACATGCACAAAATTGTTGCATCGCATCATGTTGTTTATTTTGCAACAGGATCTTGCCTGGTCTGAACTTGGTGCTTGAGTGAATTTGAGCTTGGTCAGTGTTTTTCAATTTATTGGAATATGAAGCCATACTTGTACTGAAATTAGATCATATCAAGAACAGAGATGAATAAAAGCGTAATTAAATGGGGATAAGTTTTTACCGCTTTTAACAATATATTAACTGTGTTGTTCTTATAGCAGATTTCTAATCAGTGGTGATATAAATGTTGGAAGAATATAAAAGTTGTGAGTTTCCTCTCTCACCTTATGTAGAGAGTGTGTGAAATGTTGTGTGGCTATGTTGTGCTTGTGACTTGTATTTGAGATGTTTTCTGTTTAAATATCAGATTTTTTTAAAACAGTCATGCGTTATGTGAGATAGTCTAGGTAATCTTTGTGCCCAGTGCCTTTCTGAAAAGTCTCCTATTCTGACTTCTAAAAACCTTTCAAACACATTGAATGTGTAAGTAATAACTTTACAGGAATTTATAATTAATAAGCTTATAGCTTCATTACTCTTATAAACTGCTAGGAAGGAAAAAGGAATCATATATCAAGCTTGGTTTACCATTATTATTTCCTTTATATAATAGAGAGATTGTCATGTTAATTTATAACTTTTAAAAATAACAGTTTAGTAGGGAAAAGAATTTTTTAAAAATCAACACTTGAAATAATGTTGAAGTGAAATACTGTTTTTTTTGAGCTAGGGAAGAGAAAAGAGTAATGGAGTTAGAAGTGAGCATGGCTTTAGTTATTAGCTGTCTGTTGTCATGGTTCCTTGAAGGGGTTTGTCGTACATCAATAAATACATCTCATTTTTGTTCTTGATGCTTCTATTTTTTTTTCCTAAGTGTTGACATTAGCTATTTGTAGACTACATAAGTATGTGTCTAAGATTTTCAGATTCTGCTGTAGACATTTACTTATGTGAGTAACTTCAGGGATAATGGCCCTGAGGAAATTACTAAATAGTGAGTAGAGATTTCAGAGGTGGAATCTAGAGCTGTGTAGATTTGTAAAGTAATCACTGATCCTTGTGCTAGTTTTAAAAAAAAAAAAGGAGACCAACCACCAAAAACTCCCATGTGTTGATTGCCAGCTGTTCAGAGAGATAATTCTCAGTTGGACAGTTGTCTGTTGCCTGGTTACTGGAACAGAATAAAAAAAGTTAGCTTGTTAGCCAGCAGATCCTTAGTATTTTACATTTAAAAGGAAGCTGAAATTGAATATGTAACTTGGTAGGATCTCGAGATTGTTACATATCTAACTTGCACAGTGTACTATCACTTGGCAGTTTCTCATTTGGTAGGCTTAGAGAAATTTTGAGGAGAAGTTCAAGTTGAAATTTCGCACATACTTTTTTTTCTAAGTGTAGGGACTTATTCATGTTAATGAGTGAATCAACTTTGACATAGTAAATGGCTTTTGTTTGCAAGGAAACGCTGTGTCTTTGTCTTGTATAGAAAGGTTTATAACAACTTGTGACAGATTTGGAATGGTTAGTCTAACTTTAATAAATGATACAGACTAACTTGGTTTGCAAAATAAAGAAGAGAGTGAGTACAGCTGTTATGATGGAAATGCCATATTTAAGTTTTCAACATTTCATTGTGATGGCTTTTACCTAGGTTAGAATACAATTGAAACCCAAATTATTTTCAGTAGTTTAGAAAGTTTATGTAGATGAAGGTGTTCCTATTAACGGTATTGTTTTTTTGATAAAGTCAGGATTTC